ACTGTTCAATTAGGACAGTAATCCTGTAGCCTTTTACAGATGAGACATCCTAAAAAAATATCAAACAAGTTTGATTTTCTGCTTGACCTTTCTAAGAAAGTGAATACAATGAAAATAAGATGGGAAAACATTTCATTTTTGGGACATTTGAAGTCATTCATTTCCAGTGTCTCCAGTAAATGTAATGTGTCTCATACAAGAAACCATGTGTCTGCCCCTGTCTTATACAGTGACTGTGTAAGTCAAATGGTCATTTTACTCTCATTTCCAAAGGGTCCTTGAATTGAATTATATAGTTTTTAAGAACATTTGAACAGGTAGAACACTGTTTATTGTTGTACAATTCAGTTGATCCTGATCCTTAGACCCTGGTGGTAAATGTTGAATTTGTTTTTGTGCAGACACACCCTCTGGGGAGCCTAATGAAGAGAAGTCATTCCTCTGTGTTGGTGATGGAGCTGAGGGAAAACTCTCTATGACGAGGAGATGTTTGATGTAACTCCTGGAAAAGGCAAAGGACAGAGTCAGATGGAGGTGAGTGATTTTTCTGAAGCAGCTCTTTAAAAGAAGTGAAGAGAAAGAATAATTTGTCAGGGTGTGTTTTCTTTGTTTGGCCAGTAGGGTCTAACCTTCTTCTGTGCTAACAGAGTAGCTGAAGGTGACTTTGATAGGGGGCACTTTTAGGAATCTGACATGTACCATGAGCCAATGCATGATCAGAGCAGTTGAGCTGCACATTACATTGAGTCGACAGTATTCTCACAGCAGTCCTGTTTGTGGTTTGACATACAAGAAATATGCGGAACTACTTCCTAGTTTTGTACATTTTCCCATCTTCTCTGCACACTTCGTCCCTCTGCTCCTCCTCGGCTTTGGCCACGACTTCATCCGTTCAGTGCACCCAAGCATCACATAAACTTATGCAAACACGTAGCACTTCCCTCCTACTTTCCCCCCCTTCATTGCTCCCTTCTCTCCTTCCTCTTTGCTAACTCCTGCCTACCCTCCCTCGTGGGAAATCCAGTGCAGTGTGACTGTGGTTGTCCTTCCTGGAAGCTGTGGTGGTGACTGTGGCTCCTCTACTCAGTGGCTAGAATAGTGCCAGCCAGCCTCCAGTGCGTTGTCTGAGTGCCTGTGTGAGTGTGTGTGTGCGTACGTATGCACCACCCGCAAACATTCCATCACCATACTGTCCGTCGCACCGCCAGCCGGCCTCGCACGAGAGCCACGCCGCCACCGCGGTTCAGTCCTGACGCCAGCCCTGTAGAATCACATTTCACACACATACACACACAGGGAGTGTGCACAGACACCACAGAAACAAAACACTCAGAAGGACACTGCCAAAAACATGCAAGGGGGCATCGGGCATGTGAGACCGGCCTGGGCGCACACTCGCACACACTCAAATAAACAATATGCGCTTTGTGGAACACACACATCTCTGGACCACAGACCACAGACATTGCATCCTGAAGTAGATCAAAGGCCTTTCCACCAGTAAACACACTCGAGACTCTTCTCTGCTCTCTTGTTTTGGCGAAGCGCGGCACAATTATGCTGATCTTTTGAGAAACAACTGGTTGCCACTGTCATTTATCATTGTTTGAGGGTTTTTTTTTGAAGAGCTCGTACAACGCTGGCTCCCTCCGGCTGATTCACACCATTTCTCTCCTTATCCCTTTAAAGCTCCTCAGTCCTTCAAATATCCCCATAACCCTGTCTCCTGCCTCTCACCCACCCTGTTATTGAACGTCTACGCCGAATAAGTCACCAGACCACAGGCCCTCAGATCCTTCCCTTTGTTTTCCCCGCTCTCCGAGTCTCTCCGTCCCTCCCTCTTGCCCTCTTCTTTACTGTCTGTCCATTGTTGAGGAGACAGAGACGCAGACAAACAGGGATAGAAGATATCCGCTGGTGTACCACAAGATTGGAGAGAAAGAATGGCAGAGAGACAGCCGCGGAGAAAAAGATACATGGACTGATATGAGGGTAGAGTTAATTACAGGGGGAAGCCAATTAGAGGGCAAAGTGATAGGACTGTTTGCCTCACCGCGGCATCCCAAAAACATCACCAGTTCCCACCATGTTTATCCTCCGCAGCCACAAGACCACAGCTCCCATCAGCCATCACTGGAGACAGCTTAGACACAATGGGGGTTATGGCTGAAGAACACGCCAGCCCTGATTGCAGACATGTCTCACACAGATAAATGGATGAACATGTAGCATGCCGACGTTTGTCATTAGTACAGATGGCCCTTTGAATTACATGACCGCAGCGAGAGGAAATACACAAAGGAACACATGGACAGAGGTGAAGGCACTCGGGCTTTATAGAGTTTTCATCAAACATTCGTCAAAGCTAGAAAAGTAAATCATACATACGTATAAATGCGTGAAAAACAAAAACACAGATCACAGTTGAAAAATCAGTAAAAACTCAACATCACACTGTTGAGAGTTATATATATATATATATATATATGGCTCCTTTCAAATTGTCAAGAAAGAACAGGAATATTGGTTTATTAAATGTTATTTTCCTTCACATTCCACCATCTTTTTTTTTCATACCTGCTTGTGTTTATCTGAAAATGTACCATTGTCTTATATGGCTTTTAGAGTCCCTTATAGTTGCAGACAATGATCAGAGGTGCAATACTTCCTTATCCACATTTACGCTATTTGCTCTGTGAGGCCTATCGGAGCTCCATGCCCAATATACAGAGTTCATTTGTTAAAAAAATAAAAAAAAACAAAAGCGCCTTAAGCCTTTAGAAAGCTCCAATTTCAGTCCCCCATCCCTGCACTGCTTTGGCTGATCCGCTCAAGCCCCGGCGCTGGGCCGTGGGAGAGCCCAGAGGTGCGAAGGGCCTGAAAGAGACTTGGGGTTGAGCAGAGGATGATGAAGTTGAAGAGGAGGAAGAGGAGGTAGAAGGAGAGGAAGAGGAAGGGGTGGGTAGAGGAAGAGGTGAGGCCCTGGTGGCACAGTGAGGGGAAGGCTGTGTCGGTCTGGAGGGGGCCAGAACGGGGGATGCTGCCAGGGAGGGCATCCTGTGAACGGTGGCCAGAGCTGTCGGCGCAAGGAGAGGTGGCGCCCCCTGCTGGCAACCAGCCAAGGAGGCGAGGCGGATCGAGGTGTGCGACGGGTAGCTTCCGAGCAGGGCCAGTTCTCTTCGGCCTGCGGCGAAAGGAGGTGAATGGGAGCCGGGCGACGCGGGGGAGATCTGAGGGAAAGATGCCCACGGCCAAGGAGGGAAAGGCAAGGCAGAGGCTGGGGGTGATTGTAAGAGGAGAGGATCTAGCTCACTTGCACAGTGTGATAGGTGAGAGACCAGGCGGGCTCCTATAGGGTCTGGGGACTCCCCATCCAGAGAGCTGAGGTACCGCACCACCTCCCCAACACACTCCCTAAAACCCAGGGTCCTATAGTCCACGGCCAAAGCTCTTGCATCAAAGTATCCTAGAGAAAAAAAACAGTCATGCTTTGAGTAAGAGTGTTGTCCAATTGTAGCTCCATCTTTGTTAATGAAAATCCTTGGTATTTATGATTTTTTTTCCCAGTAGTACAGTAACTCACCTTTTCCTCCCATGGCGTGCAGCAGTTTGAGATGATCCACTGTCATCTGCAGGATCTCTGCTTTCTCCAGCTTTGATGAGCCCTGCAGAGAAGGCTGCCGTCATTTAACTCACTCACACATAGATCTATTTGGTGACTGTTTTCACAAACAGAAATATAGAGTTTTACCTGCTTCTCAAAGGCGCTGGGAACCAGTCTGCGCAGCTCTGACAGGCTGTGGTTGATGCGATCCCTCCGTCGCTTCTCTATAATCTGAAAATGTGGACAGCCATAGATCAGTCAGACCAGTAACAGAATAAGAGTTGCACCCGAGGTTAGAAAACTTCAGAAAAATCACTCACCCCTCTCCTCTTCTTTCGAGCCAGAATCTGCGAGGCACTGCCAGGAGACATGGACCCAGTGACTGGGCTGCACCACGGAGATAGAAAAGAAGGAGAGAGAGAGAAGGATGAGGGAGAGAGAGAGCAGGGTGTGTGTGGTAACTTTGATTCTCTTGCATATTGTTATTATTACCCTCCTTAATATGACACAGAGGCAGGATGGCACATCAGTTCCCTTCAATCTAATTTGTTGTTTGGGCACAAAAAAGCCAAAGGAGTGCCCGGAGTGAAGGAAAGACAAGATTGTTTTTGTTTTAATGCGTTTTTGGACATTCGTCTCAGTGAAATGGCGTGCTGTACTTCTTTCCATCTGAGTGAAAGCACTTTTAGGAAGATGATTATATAGCCTCGGGCTGAGGCTTTCGCTCACATGGGGCTCCAGCGTGCAGCATGCGATGTGCACCACTCCGACTACAGTCGCTCAATATGGATCGTGTTTGTTTGTGAACTCTCATGTTGTTAGCCTAAAAGCGCCCATCAGCCCGGAGTTCCCTCGGTCACCAAAGCCTTATTGCGTTTCTATTAGATTTTAACATGGAGTTTGCCAATTCATCTGTGTGTTTTTGTTTAGGTCTGTGTTTGATGGGGCGGACTTGAAACGGTTGCATGCACTGTCTTCTGTTTGCATGTCACGTCTGATTTATCCAAAGCGTCTTTAGCATCTCCAGTGCTGGAGATGCAGTCGCAGCATTGGACAAACTAAAGAGTAACAGAGTACAGTTAAGCAGCATAGCATTGTGGGTCGTGCTTTGTTTTAAAAGGTATCAAATACTACTAGCTCGTCTTTGATCAAAAACCGCGGTGGTTATGGTGTACGTTCCATGTAATTTATTCCATATATAGTATATTTACTATTAGCACAAGATAAACAAGCCATGGACTGCATTTGATAGAAATACATTTACAAAGCGTAACAATTCTGTGTATGACTATAATGTTTACAAACTTTTATCATTTGGAACAATTCATTCATATTGGAACAAAAATATTTACTCTGTCCGCATACTGAATAAGGGAAGTATTAAAGAAATTATTCCGAGAGGTAACAACTGAAACACATGAGTATTTGCTAAAGCAACATACAGTTTTTATGATTAAAAAAAAATCAAGTTTCATGTATTTTAGGATGACACAAAAGTGAAATATATGTATATATATGGTGCATATATACACATATAAATGAATGACTATTTAAAGGGCATAATTGTATAATTTAGTTTCCTTAGTTTATATATATATATTTATATATACAGTATATATATTTGATATGTCAACATTTAATATTTACTTAGCAGTTTAAGAAAGTATTACGTGTTGAAAACATCAAAAGCAAGATGAAGTAAATATAAAAAACAATTTTTAGTCAGGTCAAAATATTTTTTTGTTTTCCACTACTTAAACTACAGTTTTAAACTTTTTAAGTTAAATTGGTAATAAATATGAAAAGAAAAAAGTTCAAAACTATTCTGCAATCCTGATTTGATCGAGTTTATCCACACGTCACTGTGACATTTTGTAAATCCAACTTTTGACAGACAAAGTCGAAATCATCCAGTAGAATTTTGTCTAATTTTGACATGCAGTCAGATGAACTGAAGGTCACCAGATGCTCACCAGAAGCTGTCTTCTTGTCCTACGTCAATAAACTCGTCTGTGTCCGAGTCTGGGGAGCTGTAGTCGTGAGGTCTCTTCATGTTCTCTGCTTGTCCCTCAGAGGATGGAGGGATGGAGGGTTAACTGGAGGACAGACTCCACACGCTGTTCTTCTCTGCTGCTCTCAGGCAACACACTTCTCTGCCCTGTGTGACGCTCGCTTTCTTCGCACTGTCTTTTAAAAGCTTTGTTGTCCTTAGTTACTTCTCGTGACTTGTGATCATGTCTTCTTCGTCTTTGTTTTTCTTCTCGTGTCTCCCGTCCCCCGCCTTTGCGAATCAGTTGTGCCACTTGTTCGACCCCCGAGGACCCATGACAACTGAGAAAATTCACAAGCTTCTTTTACTTTACAACTGTCATAGTCTTCCACTTTTCTCCTCTCACTTTAGTCCTCCCTTGGCTCCTTCTCTCTGTCACATCCACCAAGGACAAAATGGGACTTTGGCAGCTGGGGCAGGGTTGCCAGTTTTGGCTCCCCCGCCTCCACTGCCTGTCCCTCCTCCCTCACTTTAATCTGCCCTCCCTGGATTGTAACCGTTCCTCTCTCTGCCTCCTCACCCAGGCTTCTATCATTCCTCCCCTTAGCTCATCGTCATCTTCAGCCAATTAGCCTCCAATCTAATCTTTCTTTCTTTCTTTCTTTCTTTTTTACAGAAGAATGGCAGCAGGAAGGAAGGGACTACCCTGATTGCAGGTCACAGTGGGTTGTGCACCACTCCGAACTGTCCCACATTAACACAGGTAGTAAAAAAAAAGTCCTACTTTTTCAGCATACCTAACAAAACAATGAGGAAATTTGCAATTTTTTTTTTGTTGTGAAATATGTTTGGAAATATATTTTTAGTACATATATCCAAACATATTTCTCTCTTAAATTGGTGTTGCTTTAACTTAAAAATTAATGATTTACTTTTAAAAACTCACTATTTCTAAAATAGGTAGTGAATAAATGTTTTCTTGTCACCTTTGACCTTTAGAAGCTGTAAGTGACAAGGAGGGATTCTAACTAAAATTTTAGGAGAGGAGACATGAGATGAGATAGGATTTTTAAAATCCCACAATGCAGTTGAGGTTGTCTTGTCACAGTAGCAGTAGTAAGACAGGAACCAAATTTTAGGTAATCAAACAAATCTATGAAGAAAAAGAAATGGAATGCAGTTGAGCAAGACATTATTTACAAAAAAGAATACAATATTTTCTGTGTTTAAATAACATTACTATTTCATCCATTTTTTTTCCAAAACGTTTTGCAAATTATAGCTAACCCATAGTATTTTTACCTAACTTTAGAACTTAGTTGAGTCTAGTGAGTAAACAAGCAAACATTTTATCCACTGAATTCAAGTGATTTCCGGTTCCTTTCCGCCTACAATTTTGTCCATATAACACGAACAAATAATGTTTGCATATTTTTGCTTGAATTTTTTTTTAAGAAGAAGCATTGTGTGTGAGTGTGTGTGTGTGTGTGTGTGTGTGTGTCAGCAGTTTAGCTATGCAAAGGTCAGGGCAGCTACAGAAAGGTCAAGAGAGAACTCAGACCAGTGAGTGTCTGAACATCTGGGCTCTTAGCTGGACAAGATTATGCTCTCTTAAACACACACACACACACACTGCTAGCGTGTGCTTGCAACACTCTGTACCCGGTTCCTCCGCCACCGTGGGAAGATTGCTGTTACATATTGCCATGGAAACACGAGAACCAGGCGCCGGTTGTTGGGAGCAAGTCCTGACTGACCCCGCAGTGTGCGCCTATGTGTGTGTTAAAGATGAACGCTGGCCAAGTGGCATGCCCCCTTCACACAATGCTCAGCTGAGTGTGTGTCTTCCTGCCGGGCAGACTGGAAGGGTGTGTTAATTTAAACATGCCACAGTGCATGAGTGCAGGACCGCTGTGTGTGTGTGCGTGTTTCCGTGTAGACATTTTTCGCTCACATTTCTTTGTCTCCGTAAAGTTGATTCTGTCTCTGTGAAGCTTTTTGTTTTTCTGTTTATCTCGCTTATATTAGCTGGAACGGAGCATTGCCTGCCTGCACTTCATCATATTCTACATTTAAAGTAAGGGCTTAACTTGTAACATATGCATCATGCGAGTGCATTTGCAGTACCCAAGTGTCAGTAATCAGTGTGACCATCACCAGAGGGGGAATCTTATAGTGTGGTGGGTATGAGTCAGGACAAACAGCAAAGAGAAATCCTTCTTTTCTCCCCTCCCTCCTCCTCCCCCCCGGAGTCCACATATCCTTTCATTACCAATCATTCCTTAATTCAGATCTGGATCTCATTTCAGCATCAGAAAACGGGAGAAAAAAAAAAGAGGCTATGGAAGAAAAGAGCCATCTATAAAGTCAGACTCAGTCTCTCCTCTGTTTATATTCTTGTCACCCGCTGAACCTCATCTTCAAAGAATCACTTTCTTCTCTCTATCGCCGATGTTTTTTTGGGGGAAAGAACAAAAAAAATCACGTTGTTTTAACTCATAGTTTTTTAAACGTCGCCCCTTTTTGTTCCAGAATGAGACAAGTTGCATGGAAGGCGTGCACTTTGTGGAAAGTAATTAAGAAGATAAATGAATCAATAAATAAGTTAATTATGAAAATGGTTTCATGGTGCGGGTGATTGAGAAGGGAGGGTGCCGAGGAGCAACATTAGAAGAAGAGAAAGACACACAGGGAGCTGGCACTGGATGGCGGAATGGAATTCTGGGAGATTTCTGGCGATCTTGGTCGGCCACTTCAAGTCCTCTCCCTCCCTTCACACCAAACCACAACAAGGCAGTGTCCCTTATTGAAATTAACAAGCTCATACTTTTACAATTTGCACACACATGCACACATGAGCAACTTAAGTATAAATGTGTGAAGGGACACACGCACGCACACACACACACACACAGACGAGGAATGATTCATAGGAGTGCACGACGATGAGGCTCTCTGACACGAACGTGGACAGTGCATACCCACGGTTTATAGGGCACAAACACTCTGAAATTGCTGAAATTATTGGTCCTGATGCATGACTAGTGCTATTGTTTGAAACTATGTGACATAGCAGCAGCTCTGCTGGACATCTTTTTTTTTGTGGCTTTTCTTTGCATCCACGTCAAACTGAGTAACTGTTAAAAATGTCTCATTCCATTCTTCTTCTTTTTTGTTTTTTTTTTTTCCTTGGACTCTATTATTTTTACGATGCTGACTTTCTGAAATGCGACGTATCCAGTCCAAAACTGTTTAACATCTTGAAGAAAAGTTGAATATGGTCATTAGACGAATATAAAGTTTGTGTTCAAAACTGTTATACAAATCCTTGTTTCTAGAAACGTGGGTTCACTTCTTTAACTTGTCAAAAGTATAAAATCAGTGAATGGCTTAACTAAACTGCAAGCTTTGGAACTCAGTTTGATAGTTGTTCATGTACTGGGATTGCAGTAGATCTATCCAGCAATGGCCTAGTCCATTGTTTCCCAAACACTGGGTCGTGACCCTCAGGTGGGTCGCAAGAGACGAGAGATGTCTATTGACTTGGGTCACGAAGGTTTGTGACTTTTAAAATATTGGTGCCCAGAAAAAAAGTTTGGGAAACACTGGCCTAGTCTGTGTGTTTATACTAATTCTTAGAACAAGGGTTACTAACTATATATGTCGGAGGGCCAGAATTATTCTGGACAGATACCTTGTGGGCCGGACACTCCAATGAAGTAATCTCTGTAGCTGTAGGTCAAGGGTAGAAGGTTTATGTTATCTTAAGTTATTTGACAGTAAACTAGAAGAAGCCTCGATGCTGCCACAGAGGACAAGGACAAAGAAAATGCTGTAGAGAAAACCCAGTAATACGCTGTGTAGGAAAACTATCAAGTTGTCTGGGTCTGTGACCAACATTGGAAACATGCTTTACAGTGTGATGAGTCTATGTCTTAGCTTGGAGAATGACTCACTCTGCGAGATCAAAATGAATATAATGGTTGTTTGGACGGCTCCAAATCAGTAGACAATGTTTGGGAGAAGAGTTGATGCAGGGTTTTGTTTTACAGTAGTGTTGTCCTTTCCTAGAAACTACATCATAGTTTTAGACATAATCTGAGGCCTATTTTGTGAGCTTGACCGGCCAGCCTGCAGTTTAGATCAGTTTCCTCTAAAGCAGTCGTTCTCAAACTGTGGTACGTGTACCGCCAGTGGCACGCAAGCACTCTCTAGTGGTTCGTGAAGAAAATTCATATTTTCACATTTACATTTTCAATTGAATAAATCTGAAACATACTATGCACAATTAAGACAACAAATATTGTAAAATATGTGGATAAAATGTGTAGCTACTCTGGCCTTTTTATTTATTTACTTGTTCTTTTCTGCAATGCAAGTCCGTTGCTCACTTAAGCACAGGCAGCACGGAGTCATGGGATCACCATCCTTCATCATCAACCCTTCGCTCTTTATTTACTACTGATGTGAAAGCTTCATGAGCAAAATTGGTTGAAATGAAAAGTTTAGAGCGCTCATTTAGACTAATCTGAGGGCCAAAGATCAAATGTGATTAAATAACATTGAGCAGTTGAGGGCTTTGTCCACTGCCTGCGGGGAATTTTGTTAACGGCCAAATTTGACTAAAGAGATCACTGCATGATGTCTTGCTGCATGCAAGCGTTATTGATATCCGTCCTCATCCTCTGCTAAAAAAAATTACAAAAAACAACACAGTTGTTTCCTCATTGGTAGGAAGCTAAGGATGAGCACACACATTCACTGAGGTCAAGTTAAGATTGGCATGGGAACGAGCAGCAGAGTAGTTTGGATGTTGGCACTGTCCTGTGAGGGAGTTATCTCTTGGAATGCTTGGAACCTGTGGCACTGAACGTCTGGCAGTCGCCGCGATGCACTCACATTAACCTGGATATATGGGCACATTCCTGGAAGTGTGGGGTTTAGGGAGTTTCCAAATGGTTTGCAGTAGTTTTAATGATGTGATTGTGTTAGCCCGAGGTGTGAGAGAAAAGAAACGCTGCAGAATAACAGGGTTAGACACAGTCAGTATATTTGTTTGAGATAGTGGCTGCCTTGATGGGAGTGGTCAGGGTGGCAGGAGGGCTACGGTGATGGTTCATGCCGGCTGACAGGGACCGAGAGACGTAGACAGAGAACAGAGAGAGGAGGGGGGTGAAAAAAAGAGAGTGAATCCTCACTCCTCATCCGGCTCTCTTATGCAAAGATAAATAAAGAGGCTAAAAGCCGAAGAGAAGAAGCAGAAAGGAGCTTTTGTGGTTTCCGAGTGGGGTCCCTCTCATGGCGGTTCCCACAGCACTGGGCTTGTGATGACATTCAGCATGTTACACACACACACACTCTCTCTGATGGTCCCTGTGACTGCTGTGACTTTCGCTGGTGCCGGGCCCCAGACGGGACGGCGAGGGCCCCAAGAGCCACAGGCAGCCATTGTGCTGTCGCCGCGGAAACCAGCCTCTTTATGTCAGACATGTTTTTCTGTTTGTTTTCTTTTTTATGTCTTTAATGTGGGCAAGGGGGAATGTTCCCCCTCTCATCTGCCTCCCCCCGCCCCCCCAATCCCACTGCTCTGCGTTATTTCCTCCCAGTACCCATCTTCTCCCTCGCCTCCCTCCATCCACATTTGTTTCTCCTCTTCTCCTCCATTCCTCCCTCATGTTGCCTGCCCTCTCCTCCTGGAGATTGTCATTTGTAGAAGTCTTTGCTCAGACAGCAACAGACATCTTTGTCGTGGTGTTGCGGCCTCCCTCTCACTCAGCTCCTTTTTATCTTTACTTCGTGAGGTTTTGGCACTAACTGGCACTTTTTTTTCTCTTGCAATGAAACACACACACACAAAAGAAAAACTCAGAGGCGCGCACACACACACACACACACACACTCACTGAAAACAATGTGCACAACTCTAAAAACAACAAAACCTATCCCCAAAAGAATGCTGCCTTTCCCACGCTAAGCCAATTTTCTTCACAAGATAAAACAAACTCTCAATAACAAAGTGAAAGAAAAAGAAGGGGAACGGGGGGTGAAGAAAGCGCAATCTGGTTATGATTCGAGGCTCCAAAAAAAGCCACGACAGGATGCCCCGAACGTCTCCAAAGAGGAAAACAAACCTGGAAAAAGCCAACTGTTACTATTTTTAAGTGTGTAAGAATGTGACGCGGTGACATGACTGAGAGGCACGCCGGCTCTCGCCCGTAATCAGTCCTTTTTGACTGCGCTCTTCAGCCACATCACACAGAGCACAGCCTTTTATAAGCTACAGAGGAAGAATGGGAGAAGGAAGGGGGAAAGTGAAAAATGGAAGAGTTATGGTCCAAACCGCTGTACCCCCCCCCCGCCCCCCCC